TTTGCACAATATCGTATGTAATATAGTTACGGTATTATATAATGGATGTCTTTACACAACCAACACTGTCATTTACAATAAATGGACTTAGGGTTAATAGTTCAGTCGGTTGGGATGGCATACCCGCCTTCGTCGTAAAAGCCGCCAAACACGTACTGGTACCGATCCTACGCCACATCTTTAATCTCTGTTTATAATTTAGAACATTCCCAAAGGTTCTTAAAAAAAGCTTTATTACACCCTATTTGCAAGAGTGGGGACGGAGAGAGTATCACCAATTACAGACCTATATACGTACTACCTACTTTCACTAACATTCTTGATTTTTTTTTTGAATAAAAGATTATTAAATTTCTTGAATTCCAAATACTTCTTGCTTCGAATCAATTGGGGTTCAGAACTGGCGAATCCACAGAGGATCCGTCTTGACTTGTATTTTACGTTGTTGTAAAAATATCCTTCTCGGGACTCAGACTATCTCTGTACCAATTTTCATGTCAAGAGGTTCAGCGAATAATGTTTGAAGAGGTAAGAGACAGACAGAAAGACACATTAAATAAAACGATTTTTACTGGTTTTTTGCACTGAATTTATTTATCTGACGTTTCGCAGCCTTTGCAGGACTGCGCATTTCTGAAGACGCAGTAGCAGTCAGATAAATAAATTCAGTGCATATAACCCGTAAAATCATTTTATTTAATGAGTGATACGCGTGAACACCTAAGAAACAAATAAGAAAGACACACTTTTGCATTTATAACAGTAAGTATGTGTATGGATTAATTTTAATTTTTTGCCTCTGCAGTAGTTTTGGTCACCCCAGTCACCCGACGCGGAACGCACACAGTCAAGGACCAGTGAAAGCGAACACGCGAGCTGCGCGCGCGCCACACAAGCTATTTGCAACATTCTCGTGCTCGAAAGCGAGATTGATTCCTGTAAATTATACTTAATTATTAACAGCAATTTTTAGTTTAAAGTATTAATCTGCTCGATTTTTAAATATTTATTTAAATAATAGTCGGTAGCATAGCAGTTAGTGCATCCGACCGGCAGCGGAAGACGCAGGTTCGAGTCCTGCCTGAAACCATAACCGAGTTGAACTTTGTTCTTTAGATTAACTAGTCTCATTGTGTATTTCTATTGTAGCTACCCAACGATAAATTATTAACAACTAGGTACTTCTGTGCGCGTGCTCGCGACTTCAGCTACGTAGAAAATTGGTTTCGTTTACAATCTTCTGCCCCCCTTTTCATCTCCCAAAAGTATGATTGCTCGAATAAAAACTACACCTTTATCCATTACCGAGACACAAACTATCTCTATACCAAAGGAGATTGCTCAGCTTCCATACATGTTTGGCCTAAAGACCAATAATCATCAAAAATTGTTTCCTAGATTCGAAATTATATAAAATATACTGTAGAAACGAATATTATTGACGGACCCTGAGAACTTCTATAAACAATATACACTGAACATATTAAAATAATAAAAAACAAATAAGTTATATAGTAAACTAGGGAAATCAAGCCAAGTACCGAAATTATGGATTAGATTCAGGTATATAGCGCATGTAGATTAACAGATAGTTGCCTGTTTTTAAAGTTAATGCTTAAGAGTAACTTTTAAAATCAGGTGTCATTTCTGGTTATAATAAGGTAGGTTCTCTGTGACAGAAACTGTGTGATGATTGTGAATGAGCCACAGATTAGAGAGAATTTTTAAACTCTCGTTAACCAAATAAAGCTAAGAGATTTAGGTTCTATAGCCATATATTCAGTAGCTTCATTATTTTTGTTATGTTTTTAAGATAACCATATTTTAGATTTTTAGTGTATCACACCTTATAATTTTATTTAATTATTAATTTATAGTCAGGCAACGTAAGCCCATAGATAGATACCTTAAAATCTAACATTATTTACAGATTATAATGTGTTTATGGAGGTATTTGGCGGAAATGTATGGCAATAGACTTTATGATGTCGCCTACCATCTATAATAATTGTCTAAGTACATTTGCATCTAGCGAAAATGATAATATAGTTGTGGATATTAATACAGTGTAATAAAAAAATGATTTTTTTATCGATCTTTACATAATAGATTTGTTTTTATTGTTATATAAACAACTTCGATCAGTCTTTGGCTGAATGTTACTACACCCATAGCCATTAAAAATGATTCGTATGTTTTCCAAACCGGTAAAATTAAAAGTCCTTTTTAAAGTAAATATATTATACAAAGGTGTCCTTTGAAATCTAATGACTATAAATTAAATTATAAATTACGCCAAGAATTACCGTGTATGACAATATTTTTTGTGCATTTAGGCCAATTTGAGCAATCTCCTTTCGGCTAAATTGGTTCAGTGGTTTATGCGTGGAGAGGTAACAGACAGAGCTATACACACACTTTCACATTTATAATATTAGTACTTATAGTAAGTATAGGTAATGTTAACTCATTTTATTCTATAAGTATTTGTATTGTGCCTAAAACATTACGGAATCTTTTGTTTGCGAATCTGACTCGCACTAGACGATGTGTGGCGGTGTTTTTGAACGGATATAAAGTTTCACAAGCACGTCTGCATAAAATACAAAAAAACACTTCGCTAAACTACCGCAGCAGAACTTTTACTATGAAGAAACGGCAAGAAGCTCAGGAAGGGCTGCTATTTTCTCTCCCTGATATATTTTATGCAGCGTTGTTAATAAAAGTAACGTCACAAGACCTCCTTATAAGAATATTAGGAAAAACTTCCACCATAATAATAAAGATATAACAATTAAAAAAACATTATCCATCATACTAGGTATTATATCATTTAGATCACAGGTTCTAAACCAATATCAAAATTTTGCTGGTCCTGGTAGACTACCATATTCCCAAAACTCGATAGAAAATGTGAAGATTAGATCAAACTTTGGGAATTTGCGTTTGCGGCTGAGTTACAACCATGAATGACAGTTTTCGATAAAAAAGTGACAATTGATTGGTTAACTAATGAATTAATTATTGTGACACGATTGTGCTATGAGTGAATGTGAAACAGTAAAGTTAGCCAATCAATAAAATAATTCCATCCAACTTTACTTTTTTGCCATCTACTAACAGCACAAGAAAACAATCAATTCTCACTTAACTTATTTTACTTAGAAAACTATTTTTTTTTGTTGTCAAATAATTAATTATTACACTATTCATAATTAAAATTATCTTCTTATAATTATACAGGTAAAAAAAGGCAACCGTTACCGCCTGAACTATAAGCGCACTGCTCAAACCACTGAACGGATTGTGCTGAAATTTGGCACAGCTATTATGATGTAGGCGTGGCGCTAAGAAAGGATTTCCTATAACATATCCCCCTAAAGGGGCATGTAGGTAGTAATGGGGGTCAAAGCTTGTATGGAAAACCAATGTTTCCACGCAGACGAAGTCGTGACTTCGTTCGTCGTGGATTATAATAATAAACAAGTCATCACACAGTGACCCCAACATGATTTAATTTATTAATATACTGATTCATTTGGTATTTTACCACATTTATACAAATATTTTGCTTTTCTTCGTAAATATGCATTGTCTTAAGCGTCTAGTCGTCGGTCGCAATAATTATGTTGCTCTTTTGAAATCAAATCAATTAATACGCAAACCGGTTGTTATATTTACAAACTAGTTGCATTTTCCCTGTTCGCAAACCTTTCTAAAGATGATTTTTTTTAAGAGTCTTTAGAAAAAATATATCATTATATTATGCAGATGCCTGTTTGTAGGATTTCTGAATATTTTCTGTTACTGCACAATACCGAAACCATTTCAGAAACCAGAAGTTTCTCTTCGAGTAGGTATGTAATCGTAAAGTCAATTAATAGTTGACGTAAAAGCATAAGCTCCCATACCTGGATCCTATTCCCAAAAAATCGGCTGCGTTTTGTGTTAGAAACAAAGAGGGCGTGTTTTTGCAATGAAAGCAAAAGGTTGCAAGTTTTTCTTCGTTTTTCATAAAGATTTACCTATTTTTCAATATGATGTATAGGTAAAGATAGATTTCCCGGTGCGGGAATCGAACATCTCCAACTAACCGGATAAGCGGCTTAACCAATTAGCCGCTGGGACGATTGCTTTCACTATCGGAATTCATAAGCAATTAATGCTCATGTTTTATAGTGTCAATGTCTCATCAAAAATGTCTTTCTCTTGCCTCTTAGTTGACTATTTTACTGGAGTCTTCGTCTTAATGGTAATTACTAAAACATTTTTTTATGATAACGGGCAATTCCTTTTGTTATGCCGATTATGTATTTTTGAATCTAGACAGTTTGCCGTATGACCTATGATATTACATATACAGAGGCGTATGACCTACAAATAAAAGTACTATTTCTAACAAATTCTGTTAGATTTGATTTGAGTTAAAATTTATGTTGTAATATTTGACTTAGGAGTTTTTGAAATTATTTTTGTTACATGGAGTGTGACATGGAGCAGTCAATCTCTTGATAAATGTATTGACATGTTGTGATTTAGGGTATTAATATACAACATAGGGTCCTAATGGACCCTATGTTGTGATAAAAACCCTAAATGATATGGGATAAAAAACAGTGTCGCAGTATGTATTAATGTTAGATTTAATTATATTTTTTCTATGTAGGTATTTATGTTGAGCTGTAATTTACCTAATATAAAAAACTATAAAAGTCATTGTAAAAACCTTAAGTTTTGCTGTTTTTTGATTAAGCTTTTCCTTGTTCTTGGTCAAACATCGCCGTACGAAATAAGAAGTTTTCATAAAACTTATAAAATACACAAACAAAGAAAGAACAAAGCATCGCATAAGCTATAATGATAAAACATTTACAATACCGAATCGATTACAATATATTTTATCATAAATCGACCAGTTTCGTAATTTGGCCAGCTGTCGCAACGGAAATGGTACTGGGTTCCATAATAAGACAGATATTTTCGCGCATTGTTCCACTCACCTTGAGCCGAAGCCGGGGTGAGAACACTCCACAGCAGTATCACCAGAAACATATTGGGCAGCACAACATTCACTTGTTCATATTATTGAATAACAGAGCGAACGCACGCACACACACAATCACACAGTCTCGAAACTCGCGCTATTACTTTTTAGTGGGTTGGTGCGTTTGCGCACTGCTCAGGTTTGCGGAGTACTGAGTGGTACTGGCGCCCGCTGGGTCTCCTGCCCCCACTTTGCGCGCCTTTCACCGTTACAATTCGACCAAACGTTGAGCAAGGCTGCGACGATTGACATTCAGCAAACCACACAGCACGGCATACGGAAATAGCCCACTTGGCAGCCGAAGCCTTCGTAACCCCTGCTTTGTGGTGCAGTCAGTTAGGCTTGTTGCCCGCTGCGCCCCTAGGGAATTCTATTTTGTCAGGAGCGGACGGCTAGGTGCTATGCTTTGTTTCACTTTTAACTTATACTGAACAGACATGGTTGGTTTTTATCATCCCTGAATTCTGTAGTGGATAGGTGCCCATATTTTTACATTTTTGTGTTAAATTGTGTAAAACTATTACAGTAAGTATGCCATAGTAGTTTCGTTAGCTGAAGTTTTTTGGGCTACTTTACTGACGTTATGTCATAGTATTTTCAACACATTTGCTCAAAAAATGCATCTACGGAGGTTGCATACTCGTACATAGTTTGAAAGTTCAAAATTACGAGCCATCCAACGGAGCGTGCGGTAAAATGTTACCGCACGCATACATGTCGCCGTGCGTATTCTTTACGGTATTTTTTAAATTGCGGTCGAAGCTCACTAATCTAAGCGGCGGGTCAGAGTGAGAGAGGAGGAGCATCTACATCAGAAAGTTGTTTAACTAAATGAACACAAGGGATTGGTAGGTGAAAAACTAATTATCAGGGTAATAAATAACAAATAAGAAATAAAACAAACTTGGAAATTGTAGAACATATGTATGAAAATAGATGGCGCTGTAGTTCCTTGCATATCACTAGCAAATTTGGTTTGAGCTACATATAGGCTAAACGTCACCGAATTAATAAAGAAATCTGTGGTCAAACCAATTCTATATTGGTTTCATTTCTATTCTTTGCATCTAAGCACTCGGATTTAAGAGTCATTTTGGCTCGAACAGAATTAAAGGGTGAAAAGCGTTTCGAGGGTGAAAGGGATTCGGGGGTGATAAGAAGGTTGGTGGGTGATAATAAGTGATTGGTAGGTCATAGTGGGGATTGATAGGTGATAATAGGGGATTGGTGGTTGTTAGTAGGGATTAGTGGGTGAAAATGTTTTTTTTAAACCGGATTTTTATTGCGGTTGCAAGTAAATCCTCTGACTGAATCAAAGTCCTTGTTTATTTTTATTTTAATTATACCTCTTTTGTTTTGTTTTAAATGTTTATAAAAATAAAATAAGTGTATATAATATTTATCTGTGAATTGTAAGTTTAATGGAATGGACTTTTTAACTATGTTTTGTTTCGTTCTATATTATTATACTGTTACGTGTCGGGATGGGGTTCGAAATTATATGCCAGTTCACGCTTGACAGTTATTTATTCACCACACAGTTTACACAATTAACACACAATGTTAATTACAAAACACTCACTAAACACTGTATTTCACTATACAAGCCTCTAAACAATCTCACTGGAATCGCCTTTGGATTCGCTCCGAAATCGCTGTTGAAACTCAACTGTCTCTGCGCGGCGCCAATCGCGCTTATATACGCTGATCGACGCATTCTAGAAAGTACCTGTTAAATTGAGAATCCCGTGGTATCATGCGCTGCGGACCGGTACGTCATCAGAAAGAGCGGAATGTAACGATCCCAGTCCCGTTGATGTTCTTCTATGACCTTCGCCAAATGATTTTCCAAAGTCTGGTTGAATCTCTCTATCATGCCGTCGGATTGTGGGTGTGCCGGAGTCGTACGCGTCTTATTTATTCTGAGTAAATTGCACATCTCCTGGAATACGTTTGATTCAAAATTCCTTCCTTGATCGCTGTATAATTCCAACGGAATGCCGAATTGGCACACTACTTCTTCAACAAGCCTCTTGGCGACGGTTTGAGCCTCCTGGTTTGGTGTAGCAAATACTTCGGGCCATTTGGTGAAATAATCTTGAACCACCACAATGTAACGGATTCCATCTTCTGTTTGTGGAAAAGGCCCAGCGACGTCAATGACAATTCTTTCCCAAGGAGCGCCGACCTGGTAAAGCTGCATCTTCCCCTTGGATCTAGTACGAGGCCCTTTGACGGAGGCGCAAACATTACATTTCCTACACCAGTCCTCGACATCTTCTCGACAGCGCATCCAGTAGAAGCGTTCCCTCACTTTCACCAAGGTCTTCCTTATTCCCAGGTGTCCGCCAGACGTACCATCGTGCACATGCCTTAAAACCTGAGACACTTTGCACCTAGGGACCACCGTTTGAAGAATCTGATCCTTACCATTTGGTGACTCCCATTTCCGATACAGCACGTCTTCTTGTAACAGAAGACTGTCCCGTTGGGCCCAGTATGCCTTCGTAATTGGGCTTGAAGCTGATATGTCATTCCATGAAGGTTTCCGTCCTTCACTTTTCCCCTTCATTATCAGCTGCAGGTCCTTGTCTTCCTTCTGCACCCGAGATATTTCAGCTTTACTCCAGGATTCATCCAATTCTTGAGCCCTTATAACCTTCACTTCGTCTTTGCACTCGCATTTTAAACATTGCTTACAATCTTCAGCACAAGGCCGCCTTGATAATGCATCAGCATTGGCATGCGTCTTTCCGCTACGGTGTTTTATTACGAAGTTGAATTCTTGTAGCTGTTCGATCCATCTCGCCACTTGGCCCTCAGGGTTCTTGAACTGGAGTAACCATTTAAGTGCTGCATGGTCTGTACGCAGAGTGAACTCTCTTCCCAGCAAGTACTTATTAAAGTGTTGTAGGGTCTTTACAACTGCTAGAAGTTCGCGTCGAGTTATACAATAATTTCTCTCTTGCTTTGAAAGAGACTTACTGAAGTAAGCGATAACAGCTTGTTGTCCATTTTGTTCTTGTGACAGTATTCCAATTCCAATTCCAGTATTACTAGCATCAGTATTCACAATGAATCTTCCTTCTCTTCGTGGATAGCTTAGGATTGGTGCAGAACAAAGTAAATCCTTTAACTTCGTAAAAGAACGCCGGCAATCTGTGTCCCAAACGAGGTTTCTCTTCTCTTCCGTGAGACGATGTAATGGCCTGGCTATCTCAGAGAAGTTCTTCACAAATCTGCGGTAGTACGCACATAGGCCTAGAAAAGCTCTCACTTCAGTCTTATTTCTCGGTGTTGGCCATTCCTGCACAGCTTTTACCTTTTCAGGATCAGTTTGGACACCCTTATCAGATATTATGTGCCCCAAAATGGCTACTTCCTTCTTGAAGAACGCGCACTTTTCTGGATTGACCTTCAGGTTTGACTCGCGAATCTTCTGAATACTTTCTCTAGATTCTTCCAGTGTTCCGTGAAGCTGCGTCCCATAACGATCACATCGTCCAAGTACACCAGACAAGCATCCCCCAATAACCCCACCAGCACACGTTCCATGAGTCGTTCAAAAGTGGCTGGTGCGTTGCACAATCCGAAGGGCATGACAAACTGCCACAGCCTTTTTCCAGTACTAGTAGTGAATGCAGTTTTCTCTTTATCCTCTGGGCGAAGTTCCACCTGCCAGTAGCCACTCTTCAGGTTAACTATGGAGAACCACTTCATGCCTCCCAACATGTCCAATGTGTCGTCAATACGAGGCAATGGATAGCTGTCCTTCTTGGTCACATTGTTGAGCATCCTGAAGTCCACGCAGAACCTGGTGCTGCCGTCTTTCTTCTTCACCAATACTACTGGAGAAGACCAGGGGCTAGTTGATTGTTCGATGACCTTATCACGTGACATTTTCTCAATCATGTCCGCTACTTCCTGTTCTCTTGCCAGAGGCACTCGTCTAGGTCTTTGTTTGATAGACTGTGTATCACCGGTGTGGATTGAATGCTTGACAAGGCCAGTCCTCCCAAGGTCATTTTCTCCAATTGAAAAGATGTCCTTGTAGTCTAATATTAGTTGCTTGGCTTCATTATACAAGTTAGGTGGCAAACTTGTCTTAATTTTCTCCAGTAACGGATTCATGTGCCTCGTTGAAGGTGGTTCTCTACAGCATTCTTGAGTTCTTCTCATGTAGTCTACACCTGCGCATCGTCCGATGACCGTGTTCTTCCATAACTGTATCGCAGGGTTGCTAGTGTTTACAATTTTTACCCTTGCCCCTCTCTTGGTCATGATCAAGGTTCTAGCCGTGATCCAACTAGGGTGACTCCCGGTATCTTCTACTACGACACATCGATTCAGTGACGCTCCTTCCGGAAACTTGACTTCTACCAATGTCTCTGACCTCGCTGGTAGGGTTTTTGACGTTGTAGACTACTAGTGGAGGGTTTCCTTCTAGAAATATTTCTTGATCCGGAAAATTCAATACTCCTCTAGCGATATCCACCACACACTGCTGTGATCGTAAGGCGTTCAGTCCGAGTATACAGTCGTCCGTTATGTTAGCGACCAAGACGCTCTGTCTGTAGATTTTGTCTCCTAGTTTCAATGTGATATCTGTCACTCCCAGGACGGTCACTGGCTGGCCTGTAGTTTGCAATTGACATGCCGATTTTGTACCTTCCCACATAATTGTACGCTTGAGAAGTTCCGGCCGCACGATAGTTTTCGATGCCCCAGTGTTAATTGTAAGTTGTGCAGGCTTGCCGTTTATTTCTCCTGCGGTTACGAGACTATTTCCATCACATGCCTGTGACACTCGTACTGTGGGAGCTAAACGACGTCCAGCTCGTGCCCGCTCTGCAACCGAGTCCACGCTACAATCAACCTGAGTAGCGGTTGACATTGTCCGGTTTCTCGGCTGGACCGGACAGTTAATCCTCATGTGCCCTCGTTCTCCACATCCATAGCACATTGGTTCACCTCGAGGCTTGACTGCTGCAATAACTTCTCGCACTCTGTGTGTCTTGTAGTCATTGCGTACTGCTTCTACCTCCAGGGCGTGCGCTAAAGCAGCTTCCAGGGTCGTGTGATGTCCCAATCGAACGGCCGCTCTAACTTCGTGTTCTCTTATACCATCCACAAAAGCTTGAACTAAAATATCTT